TCGAGCCTGTTACACAGGAACAGGAGGCCATTCAGCCCTCTCCTCGACCCTGTTACACAGGAACAGGAAGCTATTCAGCCCCCTCCCTACTCCTCGAGCCTGTTGTACAGGAACAGGAAGAGGCCATTCATGGTTACAGCAGGCGCTATCCCTCCCACAGCCCCCGTCCTCGAGCCCCCACCTCTCCCTCCCAGCAGCTTGTGTGGATCCAGCAGGGGCCACCCCCGACCCGTTCCCGTTGCTCGCTGGCGCCTCACCATGGCGGTGATCTCGTCGAAGGACTGCAGGTACTCCACGATCTTGGATTTGTGTGCGGGCTCGACACGGGCGAAGCAGCTAGCGTTGCGGCAGGCCATGCGCTGCTCGGAGGCAGACAGGTCATCAAACTCCCGGCCGGTGAAGGCACGGCCGATCACGTCCTCATCCTCGCCGAAGATGCCGATGCGGCGGCAGATGGCGACGGCGGTGCCCTTGTTATCGCCGGTGATCATGATCACCCGGATGCCTGCCTCCCGGCACAGCTGGATGGAGTCGATCACCTCCTTCCGCGGTGGGTCTAACATACCCACCACCCCCACAAAGGTCAGGTCACACTGCACCGGAGGGTAGAGGGGGGAGGTGTTAGAAGATGGGGGAGAGACCCAGGGAGGGAGAGAGAGAGAGAGACAGGGAATGAGAAGGAGGGAGGGCGAGAGAGAAGGGGAGAGAGAGAGAGGGCAGGGGAGAGAGAGGGAGAGGGAGAGAGAGATAGAGAGAGAGACAAGACAGGGAATGAGAAGGAGGGAGGGTGAGAGAGAAGGAGAGAGAGAGGGGGAGAGGGCAGGTGAGAGGGAGAGGGGGACAGAGAGAGAGAGAGGGAGAGAGACAAGGCAGGGAATGAGAAGAAGAGGGAGGGAAAGACAGAAGGAGAGAGAGAGAGAAGGCAGGGGAGAGGCGGACAGAGACAGAGAGAGACATGACAGGGAATGAGAAGGAGAGGGAGGGTGAGAGAGAAGAGGGGAGAGAGAGAGGGAGGGGGGAGAGAGAGAGGGAGAGGGCAGGGGAGAGGGAGAGGGGGGCGGAGAGAGGGAGAGGGAGGGGGAGAGAGAGGGTGGAGGAGGCAGGATGGGGGAGACAGGGAGGAGGAGGTGGGGAGAGAGGGGGAGAGAGAGAGAGAGAAAGAGAGACAAGGTCAGGGAATGAGGGGGAGGGAATGGGAGAGAGAAGGAGGAGAGAGAGAAAGAGGGACAAGGACAGAATGAGAGGGACAGGGAGTGGGCGATAGAAGGGAGGGGGGTGGGTAGAGAGAGAAGGAGAGAGAGTGGGAATGGGGAGACAGACAGAGAGAGAGAGACAGGGGGAGAGAGGGGGTGGGGGAAGACAGGGAGGGGAGGAGAGAGAGAGGAGGGTAGAGAGCAAGGGATGGGGATACAGTGAGAGAGGGGCAGACAGGGAGGTGGAGACGGAGAGGGAGGGGGGAAAGAGGGAGGGTGAAGAGCGGGGGCAGAGAGAGGGGGAGAGAGTGAGGGATGAATAGATTACGGAGGTAGGAGTGAGAGAGAGAGAGAGACGGAGACAGTGGGAAAGACAGATGTGGGAGAGGTATTCAGATGGGGGACAGTAGAGAGTGGGAGAAGGAGAGGATGAGGAAGGGGAGAGAGAGAGATGGTATAGAGAGAGAAAGAGGTGGGGACGGGTGAAGGAGAGGGGAGAGAAAGATAAGTGGGGAGAGCAGTGTGTAGAAAAAGAGGGGAAAGGGGAGAGACGGGGAAGAGATAGAGAGAAGAGAGTGAGGGAAAGAAGGGGGCAGAGAGATGGGAGGAGGAGAGACAGGGAAGAGAGAAGGGGAAGCGGTGGGGGTGCGAGTGAGAGGTGGTAGAAAGGTGATAGAGTAGGATGGAGAGATGGGGGAGAGAGACAGGCAAGAGGAAGAGAACACAAGGCAAACAGAGATAACAGAGAGAAGGAGGTAGAGCGAGAGTGATAGAGGGAGAGACAGCAAGGAGTCCACAAGAGCGGTCAAATTGAAAGAGGGAAACACAGAAGGAGTGGGGAAAACAAACAGAAAGATTAATTTCTGAAATAAACAAAGAACTGCACATGCTACAAAACTGAAACAAAAACAAGATATTGCGGGTAAAACGAGCAGGTCTGGCAGCATCTGTACACACAAAGCAGAGTTAAAGTTTCAAGCCCAGTGACCATCTTCAGAACACTGAGCCCCCAAGGATGCTGCCAGACCTGCCGAGTTCCTGTCGCAGGGTTAGCGCTGAGGGAGTGGGCACTGTC